TGGACCTCAACAATATTCCGGGAAATAATTGTGGAGCTCTTTGGGATTAGATTTAATACTTTTGCCAGATACGACTAGACTCTCGCTGAAGACAGATGGGACGGTAAAAGCGGTTTTAAAAAGGGATTATACTCCTCAACTTTGGCTTATATGGGCCTTGAGCGCCCAATCTCAAAGGCTGATATCCATTAAAATCACACATCACACGCATGTAAATATCCCAGATTTATCCTCCACTCTGTTAAACAGCATTTGGTGCCACTGTAAACCCAAACAGTAAAATTAACCAAATAAACGAGTTTTACTCAAATATACTAACACTTTATTTCCGTAGCCTATAGGCCTATGTCACACTTCCTGCTTCCAGAACGAGGAGTAGGGATACAGAACTTCCGGTCAACAGTATTTCTCAATAAGGATTTAGATTATCAGCTCTAATGTCTAAAAACCATCCGAGGTAGACTGCCCACGAGCTATGAGGTTGTGAAAGGAAGGTTTTTTTCTCCTGTTGAAGCTATAAGTTTGTATGAAATCATGGGGCGGCAGTGGCTCAGTGGTTCATGCAGGTTGTTGTTATGGAAATTTGAATCATTAAATCATTAGTGAAGATTACAAGGTAGTCTGAGCCATGTGTTTCCATTGAACCTATTCCATGAGTAAAATATAGATGTCTACGTGGTTGTGGGTGACGTTTCAGGAACATAATGTATGGGACAGGACCTCTGACCTTAGGGATGGCCAGTTTTGGCCAGTTTATTTCAGTACCAGTTTGTGTCCTTAAGTAGAGACTAAACAGCAGTAAGGGCCTTACCTAGGTAGGTGAAAGGTACAGCAGGGGAAGAAGGAACCTTGAAAAGACTATAAGAGCTGTCTCATGTCTCCCTGAAGGCGTCTCACTCACTCCACAGTGTCGGCGACTGGGCCTTTTCTTGCAAGAAAAAAAACTTCTCTTTCTTTACTAAAGACTCTTACGCACTGATTATGTTTGACAAGATTTTTGCCACAACATTGTCTACAAACCAGAAGGTTGGTGGTTCAATCCCCGGTTCCACCTGACCAAGTGTCGAGGTGTCCATGAGCAAGACACCTAACCCAACCTGCTCCCGACGAGCTGGATGGTGCCTTGCATGGCTGACACCGTCGTTGGTGTTTGAATGGATGAATATGTAAAGCGCTTTGGTGACCATTGGGTCTGTGAAAGTGCTATATAAATGCAGTCCATTTACCATCAACCTTGTTTAAAGAAAAATGTGTTTTATCCGCAATCTTATGAAAGAAAACTACACTACCCACAATCCTAACTGTGCGTATCCACTTGTCCGTGCGATACTTCTGTCGCTCCGCGCTCCACTTTTTTCCTATGGGTGACGTCACGTGACTTTAACGCACCCGCAAAGCATCCCGGGAAGGCGGCACTTCATTTGGAAAAGCTGGCCGATGCCCATTTTATGCAAATGAATTCCGTTGAACGTGCCGCGACTATCCAATAGAAGTAGAGCATATGGAGACGGGGGGAAGTCTCTCGCAGGTCCTCTGTAGATTGTCCGCTTGCTCAAAACCATGCCCATCAAAGTACAAATGTGGGGAGGCGTTGCGACAACACTCGCCTGTCGTGTCGGACAAGTTGATCTCTACCGCGAGCGTACGTTTAGCAGCAACATTGGCTGATTGGTCTAACTCGCTGTTACCATAGAAACGTTTACCTTACTAGCGAGAGCTACCCGCGGCTGTTGTTGTAGTGTATCGGGTTGCTCTGCATCAAGACGTAGACAGCCATACCTCAGCTTTCATGCTTTCCCACTTGAGAGTTTTCATTTATTATCCAAACCACATCGTCATATGTGACTTCAGGCAGGTTGCAGAGAGATTTGGTCCAGCGGTATCTATCGGACTCCACCAACCGGAAGTAGTATCCCTATTAAAAGACGTACTTCCGGTCTTCAATTTTTTTCGTGACATAGGCCTATAGTTAGAAGAATGTGAAATGTGGACTAAATAACTTTGCAACTACATGTCAGCTATCTCTACTTAAAGTTTAGTAGATTGTTAGGTTAGTAGAATAAGTTGACACGTAGTTGCAAAGTTACTTATAGTCGGTTGAATGTCTATTGCGGGGTCATCAAAATAAAGTGTTAACAGATATTAAGCAGACTAAGGCTGAATCCCAATTCTCTGTCTTTACCCCTTCCCCTTGTCCCTCGAAACCGAGTGGTAAGCACTAGTGCAAACATACCCCTATGAAATGAGACACCACTCGGTTACGTCATCTTACATTCCGTCCTTCGGATGAGACGTTAAACCGAGGTCCTGACTCTCTGTGGTCATTAAAAATCCCAGGATGTCTTTCGAAAGAGTAGGGGTGTAACCCCGGCATCCTGGCCAAATTTGCCCAGTGGCCTCTGTCCATCATGGCCTCCTAATCATCCCCATATATACCAATTGGCTTCATCACTGTCTCCTCTCCACCAGTAAGCTGGTGTGTGGTGAGCGTTCTGGCGCACTATGGCAGCCGTCGCATCATCCAGGTGGATGCTGCACATTGGTGGTGGTTGAGGAGATTCCCCCCTCTATGTGAAGCGCTTTGAGTGTCCAGAAAGGCGCTATATAAATGTGATGAATTATTATTAATTATTATTTAAATCGTCCTTAACTGGCGTCTGTGTCACCGGGGGCGACAAGTGTTGATCATAAACTTCTCAAAACTTTCAAGATGCCGTCTGCAAGTATGTTTATGTCGATTGCTTGGGTACTGGAGATTTATTTGCGATTGTCAGCAACAAATTGCAGAAATCAAGGGAGAAGAGGTCTACAACGCATACGGATGCTGGTGGATCCACTATTCATTATGTTTACATGCACAAGGTGTTGTTTCAATCGGACTGAATTCATTAATTTAAATCGGTGAATCTGAATGTATTGTTTATCTAATATTCCCGTGTTTTCGTCGCAGTCGGGATCCGTTTTCTGAGAAGCTGATCACGTACATGTCAGTGTCAAATAATGTACACATAATGAATGGCCTGTAGAAAGCAAAAGCTGAATCCCGGACATTTTGGGTTATCTCGAAATGTGGGACTGATTGTGGAAATCAGCAATGTAACGTTAGCATAGCCTAGCGTAGCAAACTAACGATTTTTTAAAATGTTTCAATAAACAACATAGTTGGAAAATTTATATGTACATAACTGTGTAGAGCACAAAACAAGACTGTCATATTGTTTTTATTATAAATCATTTAAGCCGAAAATACTTACATTTATGGGACACTCTGGGGTGCGTTTCCTGAAAGCATCGTTAGCCAACTATGGTCACAATTTCCATTGAACTCTATTGGTAACGACGGAACTTACGACCATAGTTGGCTAACGATGCTTTCGGGAAACGCAACCCTGGATGGTATGCCCGCCATTGTTGCTACAGTAGTTGCACAGTGTATTCTGGGTACCCCTTGGTTTCAAGTAAGCTAAAATTCTTGGTCTTAAGTGGTATCTACCCCTTACCCCTAGATCAAAATGAGAATTGGGATAGCCCTTCCTCTAAACTTGCAAAAGTAAGGGAAAGAGGTAAGAGAGAATTGGGACTCAGCCTTTTACTAATGTTAATATTCAAATGACAAAGTTGACACTCAATTTGACTATTTATGCACTATTTTATGCTGTTTTGTAGAATAAATAGTGGGAGTAGTGTTCTCACTGAAATTTCAAAAATACTTAGAAATACTTTCACTTCATTAATTTGAGAAAAACAAAAGGAGGGAGGGGTGATCAGACTCCGATTTTGAATGACAATGTCCTTATAAAATTCATTCACTGACTACACGGTTGAGTACATAGTGTGTTATTTGAGAAAACTTCGTAGTTAGCAGAATATCTAAAGTGAACTAAAGCGGAATAAAGCGTCACCTTAAAGAACATTATTTTTTTTATACAATGCAAGATGTTTTGTAGATTTTCTGGTTTGATTCTCCATACTGTCAGATTATCAGCTGATAGCGTAATTAAGGTACGCCATATGTGACTACACTTCCTGTTATTATTAGCTCCGCTGTGCTATTTTTTACATCCATCGCCGAACACAACTCGCTCTTTCCACTAATGGCTGTTAAAAATACCCTGTTGTTATTTGCCTTTTAGGTCTGACAAGTAATGCAGCATTTTTCTGCCGCTGTTGAAGGACGGACTCTGAGAATGAGAAATTGTCCACTGGGATTGGTGTGTCCAGAAAAATGCGTCAGCAGAGACGACACGTAGCACGACACAGGAGTAAGTCGACAAGTTCTCTGAAGCAGTACGAACATATTTCCTCTTTTATTTACATTCCTTTTTCAAATGTTAACATGTTTCGCTATAACTCTCTCATCAAGTTGGCATTTTCTCTTTTCTCATTAAAATAAACTTGGCACAAGTAAAACATATGTAGACAAAAGTTTTATTTACACCATACAACATTTTTGATTTTTAAATATTTTATACAGGGCTGCAGATGAGAGAGCTTTACTGAGCTTTCAGGCAGATTCTGCAGTATTAAAGATTTGAAATATATTATTCATAAAAAAGTGAGTATTACCTTTATTGCATTTAAAGCAATGAAGAATGTAGCTTGACAAACATTCATTTTTAAATGACAGAAAAAAATCCTCTTTGCCTCTGAATAATTGTCTTTTCATATTATAAAGTAAAAAGTGTAGTCATGGCCAAACGGACTTGTTATAAACTTTTTAAAAACCTGCTCAAGTATATACATTGTGTTCCTGGGCTCGGAAAAACCGAACCCGGCCGCCGCTCGTGGGTGGACGTCACGTTGTGTCGTTTTTCTCTTTGAGGTCTCGTCTGGAAAGATAGCGCTTTCGGAGCCGAATGTTTTCCAAGTGGTACTTTTGAAACACATGATGTTTTGATATTGTACATGTCTGCCCCCCACTAAATACACGAGTGAGAATACAAAAAAAAAGATAACACAGATGTTTTTTTGTCTTTTTCTAACATCTTTTTATAAGTCCGTCCTCGTTTTTTTTTTTTTTTTTTTTTTTTTTTTTTTGAAATCTTATTGGCACATTGTCCCTGCTATACTCCTAGAATCCAGATATGTCTTTCCAAGGCTGCATGAAAAGTCTTCTGCGTTTTTTGATCAGTGCAAAATATGTCCACCTTCATCCGCGTCCCTGCTAACGCTTCATTATTCCTCAGACTTCTGTCTGAAAGTCTCCCTCCTGGACGTCCAAAGGGAGGCTGACACACTTTTCCCACTCAGCGTTAGTCATCTCCAGAGAGTTCTTTGTGTCTGATTCTAGTACATTCATTGTGGCGTAGTTCTGATATTCACTTGCCGGGTTGAAGCTCTCCCAGGGGTTCTTGTTTTGCATTGCCTTGTCCTACGGAAAAGGACGAGAGGGCGCCGTGTTAGAAATAGTCTCAATGTGGTTACTCGTAGAGATGCTGTCAAACATAGAAAGTTGCTCGTGGACATGAATCATCAAGCTTTAATTCATGTTTTCTTACATCGGCTCTAAAAAATATTTGGACACTTGAAATATATGAACGTCATTGCATTAGATACAACTTATCAATACAAGTGGTGGCTAACAAATCATCTTGTGCTGGTGCAGTCTTTCTTAAAAAAAAAAAAAGTTACTTGGTTTGATATTATGCTAATTCATGCAATGACTTTCATACATTTGTGTCCCGAAAACATCTTTTGGGCCGCTGCACATACACATCCAGAGTTCAGTAATCAAGTGTTTGACCTGACAGCATGTTTGGAGTGTTTCCGGGTTCAGGAACATCTCAGATTTTTCAAGTGAATAAAAACACAGGATAATTTTTTTCTTTCAGTTGGTTACTAAGCAACAGTCAAAGTTCTGTGGACACATTGCCAGAAGCTACGACTATACCTGCCATGAACATGCATTGCTAACACAGAACAATAAGATTCCTTTTTTTTTTAACATTAGCTAATGCATTAGTTTTCTTAAATTAAGAATGGAACATTTTTGCAGCATGTATTAATCTAGGACTAAGTTACCTTATAAATCTAATTGTTCATTGGAAATTCATGTTCTTTCATAATACATTAATGCTAATTTATACAACTTGAAATGTATGTGTAAATTAGCATTAGCCTAGATTAATAAATGCAGTTGAGAATGTCATGAAGCCTAATGCCTTAGCCCTTAGTTAAAGTATAGAGCCTCATTGTAAAGTGTTACTCGTGCATTTTGAATCACGATCGTGTCTGGATGCTTGCATCTAATCGCACTTAGCTGCACGATATGGAAATGACGCTTACAAACTACACTAGAGATTGTATTAAACAGAAATTTCCCATCACTGATGGATAATTCAAAATGTTTTCCATCATATTAACGGCTTGGCTATTTCCCGTTTTAGAAATATTCTCATGGTAAAGAAAACGCAAAGTTATAAAGCGCCTTTGTGAGTCTACATTGGATTAACAGTCTAAAATGAAATAAATTATGGGATATTTGTTCTTTAAAGCAGGTGACCATATCACAAAACCTCATTAAGGGTTAGTTCATCCAAAAAAGAAAATTAGCCCATGATTTAGTCGCCCTCAAGCCATAGGTGTATATGACATTGCTATAGAACTATTACCACATAGATATATTGAAAAATAGCAGTGAATGGAGGACAACATTTTGAAGCCCAAAAAAAGTGCATTCATCCATCATGAAAGTACTCCACATTAGCTAATAAAGCTAATAAAATCCATATTTAAAACATTAAACTAAACTAGCTTCCAGACTTGCAGCAAAAGATTAACACTTGACCTGACACATTGATGAACGTGGAAACGCAGAGGATAGAGAAAAACAAAACCCCAGTCCCGAATTATGTCTAATGGTGCGTTCACACCAGAGGCGAATAGCGTGTCAGGCGTGAATGATTTCAATGTTAAGTCAATGCAAAGACGCATTATGCGCATAAAAAATACCTGCGGCGTGAATGAGGCGTAGAGCGCGGCGCGGTAGACATGAATACGCCTCATTCGCGTGTCAAGTTCGCGCGAATGGTGCGAATTGAGCGTCTGGTGCGTTAAACGCGAATTATTTATTTATTTATTTAGTGCTATTTGTGCATTCACACGTTTGATTTCCACGCGAATTCGCGCCTGCCGCCTGACTTGAAAAATCTGAACTTTGGCGTCAATTCGCGCCACATTAACCAATCAGAAGCCTAGCTGCTTGCTCTCGTGGTGAAGTATCTGGATGCTTCAATAAATTATTTTGAAATATGACTAAATGCCTAGTGTGGTTCTAATGCACAACAAAGCAAATAATTTTATCACTTAAAACTATTTCAATATACGAGACATGTTCATTTTGTATTGAATGTTATTTATTCTATATCTAGATCATGAAATATTATTATGATGTAAAGACAACCAACATACATGTGCATAAGACGTGAGAGAAAAAATAAATAAATAAATAAAAAATAAAATCACACATTATAACTTTTGGAAGCTGGCTCTATTTATCATCAAAGCAAAAAAAAGGGTGATCCTCGCTCCGATGCAGGACAACAGGTCATCAAACTGGGCGTGGGACAGGTGGAAGTACCGCTGACAGGGTGGTGCAGCTTCTTGAGCAAGCAAATGGTGAAACTAGCCAAACGGTTCGCCTCCGAAGGGTCCGTTGGACACAAATATGGCGACAATGATCCCCACGCCAATGTTCTGCTCTCCAAAGCAAATACTTACAAATACGGTGACTCTCTCGATGAATACTCGATCAACATAAAAAAATGGCCGCCAAAGGGTTTCGATTCTGACGCGTGTAAATTTCGCTTCAAACTTTTGTTTTTACACGCGTCAATTTCGCTCTTGACTCGCGAATGGATTCGAAGAGTTTACAGCCCTGTTTGTTTGAACCTTGAGAGGCGTCAAAGCTTACGCTACTCCTACAACTTGCAGGGGTTACTCTTTCGGCTTGCTTAAGCCGGACGCTAGTTATTTTAGTTAAAGTTTTAAATATGGATATTTTTCTTACACAAACCCATTGCCTCACTTGCTTCTCTTCAGAAGGCCTTTATTAACCCCCCTGAGTTGTGTGAAGTATGTTTATGATGGATGGATGCACGTTTATGGGCTTCAAAAATTCATCCTCCATTCACTGCCATAGTAAAGCTGGGAAGAGCCACGACATTTTTTTTTAAATATAACTGAAAGAAGGAAGTCATAAAACACCTAGGATGGCTTGAGGGTGAGTAAATCATGGGGTAATTTTCATTTTTGGGTGAACTATCCCTTTAACACCTGCATTAAATAATTTCCGAATGTGGTCCATCACAATGTGTCTTGAGTGCACTGGCTTTTATCTGGGCCAGGAGCATTGTATAGTGATCGGATCACACAGAAAATGCGTGCTAATAGCAGAGCTAATTACAAAAAAAAAGCCATGCCTAAAAATCTCCATTTATAATCAAAGTGAACCATTCAGTGCCAGCCAGCCTTGAGATCGTAACACAAAATGACACTGAACGCTGACACTGGATGGTGGAATGCAGTTGTGTTGCAATTGGCCTGCTTGAAACTAATAATCCCACTGGCCAGATAAATCACAGATAATTTGTGCAGCATACTGCGGAAAGCACAGAGAACCTCTCCAATATCTGAAGCAAATCAAGGGGTTTGTGTCCCGCGCATTCGCCAAGCAATGATTAGCAAATAGAAAAAGAAATAATAAGCATGTTAGCAGCTTTATTTTTTCATGTTTGAATGAGTGCATGAGCATGGATCACAATGACGGCTCCTCTCTCTCATCCTTTAATACCTCCTCTTCCACCGAGCCCCCACCCGGGGCAGGCGGCGTGCTATTTTTCCACATGAATACATTGGGTGGATAACTATTAATTCCGTCAGTCACTGACTTCCTTTGCACAAGACTGGGGCGCCACGAGAAGACACAGCTAAACATAGACAGCGTGGCACCCCCCAGTACTTGGTAATGAGACACACTGAACCCCGTTTCCTGTTACTCACCATGCCGCCCATATTTGGTATGTCTCGAAATCGGTCCAGGGTTTGAAATTTCTGATTGAGTTCCTGGAACAGCTCCATATGCCTTTTCCTGGTGTGCATGACTTTCTGCAATGGCAAGGGTAGGAGGGGGAGGGGGAGGGGTAGGGAGTGGGATTTGGAGTTCAGTCAAGCTGAGAACCAGAACTTTGCAACAGGAAAAAGCCTGGCTACTTTCAGAAATTTTATCACCGTATAAAAACGCCGTGCTCACCCTGCAAATTTCGCTGAACGCTATGACAAGGTTATGACAAACGGCACTGGCATATATGAAGGGTCAGTGGTAGCACTTGACATTCAATTTCCGTTTTCGTTAAGGGCTGAAACGCTCTAGGGGATACTGCAAGTGACCTTAAAAATGTGAAAATATACAGGCCATTTTTTTTGATTTTCAGCTTGAAGTCAAGGGATGTAAAAGGATAAAATGGGAATATGTGGTGGCTGACAGCATTGCTTTTAAGCTAAACCACACAACGCTTCATAAATCGCAGTTGTGTCAGGACATGCTACTCCAATAAGCTTAAGTGCTACACAAAGTAGTTGTAAATTAAAGGGGTGAAACAAACGCAACAAATGGCCCTTCGCTTGGTGCAACAAAGGCCTGACGCATGCACTTCGCCAAGCGGGGGTTTCACTCACCTCGAAGTCTAGATCCTGGTACCTCGACTTTCTTCTCTGTAAAACCAAGACAGAAAGACAAAAAAATAATGTTGTTAGGAAACCTAGAGAAATAATTCAGAGGAAATCGGAAACTTGGTCCCATCTCTCAGACACATATGAGTAAGAGTATGTTTCTTGCACATCAGAGCTAGACTTGTATGCCTTGAAGCTTTTGGCAGGAAATGGTTTCAGCTGTTGATCTGGCTCAAATATGTTTTCCCTTCAAGGCAGCCGGTCGATACCAGCTCTTTAGTGTTTTAGTACTGATGAGAGGTTGAAATGTCTTACAGTGCCTCTCCAGTGACCTTTAAGACCAGACAAAGTACACAAAGTTTAAGACCAGACAAAGTACAAAGTATGACAATGCTTGACCCATTGGACATAACAAAAAAGATGATATGAACAAAGTTGGGATCTGATCAACAGTGAACCGCTTTGACTTTCAAATGGACAAAGAGAAACATATATCGGTAAAACTTTACAATAAGGTTCATTAATTAACTACATTAGTTAGCATGAACTGCACTTCTACATTTATCAATCTTTGTTAATGTTAATTTCAACATTTACCAATACATTATTAAAATCTTGTTAGCATTAGTTAATGCACTCTGAACTAACATGAACAAACAATGTACAGCTTTATTTCGTATTAACTAACGTTAACAAAAAATGAACAAATACAGTAATAAATGTATTGCTCATGGTTAGTACATGTTAGATAATACATTAACTAATGTTAACACATGAACCTTCTTGTAAGTGTTACTGATATACAGTATCTTCTGTATAAGGTCTGGGGTAAATAATCATAATTTGGGGTGAACTCTCCCTTTCAAATTGCACAAGATTAAAATGAGCTCTTTTTTAATCATTTGAATTTTTTATCAAAATGTCAAAACAACATGATGAATGCTGGGAATCTCCTATCATTGAGTCTGCATAAACCGATCCCTACCTTACAATCGATCTGCCTCCATCCAATCAACAACCACTGGACAGAACCACATCAAAATATGGAAGAAAAGATGTCGCTACTTCCTATTCTTCACAAATTATTTCACAAGGTTGATTGCCTTAATTTGAGGGATTAAGACTTCTTTAAAAACATGGGTCGTGAAAACAGCAATAATCATGACTTGGATACTCTTCAAACTGACTGTTTAGTAGGGCTGGGTAATAAATATCGATTTCTCGATATTAATCGATTCTCATTTTTACGAACCGATATCGATTCCTAAATCTCAAGAATCTCAAAAATACATCCATTTTCTTTAGAAATTCAAAAACATAAAGCGCTGTGGCGTGAGATCGCTCTGGCGCAGCTCAAGAGAAGCAGCAGCGCTGATCTCTCTTCAGGGTTAATAATACCAGCTACAGCGCGAAATAAACATGAATGAGCATCTGAAAGTGTGTTAAAAGATAAAGTACAGCTTATCGAAATCCGTATCATATCACAATCGCTCAATCAGCATTTCAACCGTGGAAAGACGTCAGTTAAACAGCTTATCAATGTCATTTATCGTCATATTTACCTCAGAAAACCCACATAAACTCGTTAGTCAGCTAGGAAAAATAACTATAAAGAGGAGCATTTTGCTAAATATATACACCATATTACGCATTATAATCTTAATGTTTTTCAATATTTAATGCATATTTGAATAAAACTGGCAAGTTTTTATGACAGCCACCATTTAAATGTTTATATTTTATATAATCTTCTTATTATAAAAATAAATAAGTGTAATTTGTATTTGTATTTGTAAGTGTTTGTATAGCTACAAAACAGTTCATTATTACCTTCATATTAGGCTAATGAAGCTAGTAGGCTACAACTAGACTACCATAGTTTACAGCATTAGTTAAGAGATTTGATTTCCCTTGAGAAAATTTGCCATTTATTGTAACTGATATCTAAAATAATCAATATTGAATCGAATCAGAATCGAAATCGAATTGCAAGCTTGTGAATCGAAATCGAATCGAATTGTGAAATTTGTGTCAATACCCAGCCCTACTGTTTAGGACATGCTAAACCCTGGCCGCTATAACACACTTAAGGCAACAGTAAAGATTAGCTGCATTAGCACTGCACTGTTCGGTACACTTGTACAGCTAGAAGCCTCTGCATTAATGTACTCATGTCAAGTACATGTCTGCCTAACTGGCTGGATTCGAAGTCGCACCTCTAAAGAGCTCATTGATATAGTTGAACCGGTTTCGCTCCGTGACAGCCCTCCACTCTCCTCCATTTCAGCCAGGAAGTTCTTCACAGCCGTGCGTGGCTCGAAGGGAAGATTCTGCATGTGTTCGGCCTGGACGGGATACTGCTGTTCCATTCCCATGTGCTCCATCCCAGAGTGGCCCAGGTTAAACTCCGCACCCATCTTGTAATGCATCAGCCTGTCATGCGACAGAGAGTCCATAGTCATGCTCATCTTGCTGTCCTCCTTCAGCAGGGTGGGAACGCTGCTAGACCCGACCGCCGAATTGCGAGGCATGACGATGTAGTCCGTCTCCATCTGTCCCGGCTGGGGATGGCCACTCAGGTCGTGCATACTCAGTTCCTGCTCGCTCTGCCTGGTGGCGTCGTCCGTACACAGGTACACGGCCCGTCTCATGTCTGCAGTGCTGTCCATACACTGCTCTCCCAGATCGCCCATGCCCATGCCCATGGACATGTGAAGTCCAGAGGGCTGCTGGATGAGGACTTTAGACATGATGTTGCCAGGCAACGTGGAGTAATTGAGCCCCTCGGGACCTTTCTCATCCTCCTCATCGTTGAGGGAGATGCGGGAGAGGGTGCCGGTGATGGTGGCCGCTCGACATGACCCCATGTCTTTGTGGAGGGCTGCGGGTAGAAGGAATATCATTAGTAAAAACGTGTAATCCAAAAAAACACACGCTATTCTTTAAATGTTGATAAAGGACCAATTTAAAAGTTGATAAGCACAGTTAACCAAGCAACTTCACCAATCAGAAAATTTCATAATAGACAGGGGACATTACAGCCCTAGTGAGAGTTTGTTGACACGTGACTAACTTATGAGGCTATAATTGTAGCTGTGAAAAAAAGAGACTATTCAAGTCAAGTCATCCTCATTTATATAGCGCTTTTAACAATGCAGATTGTTTCAAAGCAGCTAAACATATAATTTAAGGTACTGTAACAGAGATTGGTTAGCTTTTTTTTAGCAGTTCTTGAATAATGTTATTTTCCAGCTTAAGTTAGTTTTGGTTGATTTTGTTTTGAGTTTAGTTTTGATTTCGCTTCTGTCGAAATGGTCATTTGTTATTAAATTAGGGGGCGCTAAGAAGACACCGTTCTCTAAACGGACTTCAAACGCGAACCTGTGATAAACGCTGATGCCGTTCACATGCGCACTAACAATTGATTCTATAGTTATGTGCGTTTGAATATGTGCACAGGTTTGTAGTTCCCTACAAACCATGCCTAAACAAACTGTCTTGCCCACTATTTCAGTTGTCCACTTTAGACATTAAAGTATAACTTTACAACTACATGACAACTAACTCTCATTAGACAACATGACATCATGACTTTTGCGTAAACATACACGCCACTTTCGAGTCAAGTGGCGTGTTATCTCTACGCATTTTGAGCTATCCGCGTGTATGTCTACGCCATTAACGTCCGAGTGATTCCGCGTGTCTGTACACGCCGTCAAATGTCCGCACGAAACGAAGCAAAATGTAGATCTACATCTGGGGAGCGATCTTTTTTTATCCTAGGATGGTAAGGGAACAGTCATAAATGCCATTAACCCCAGTGACGGTTAGGTTTAGGGACGGGGTTGAGGTAAGTCATATATTTATATATACAGTAATAACGTTAAGTCAACGGCGTTCATAAACACGCTGAAAAGCGATTATGCGTGTTGATAGCACTCCAAAAATGGAAATACGAAATGGCGTGTCATACACACGCTACTTCATGAGATCAGTCTTCCATTAGAAGTTTGAGTAGACTCTTAGGTTAGGGTTAGTAGAACAAGTTGACGTACTTGCAAAGTTGTTTAGTCAGTAATGACTAATGACTGGTAGTTGACACGTTATTGCAAAATGACTTAGTAGAATGTCTAAAGTGGACCATCGAAATAAAGTGTTCCCACAATAACTGTTTGTCATGCTGTGAGCCAAAAAGTTTAACGGGATACTGCAATTCATTAAAGTACACTAGTTACATGCGCTTTAAAGACTTGCTAGATAAACTTTGCGCTGTTTTAACACTTTTCTGAGCGCAATCAGCGCATACACCCAAAGTGCACAGGCACTAAACTGGACTTACTGGACTATTATCTTTCGAGTCTAATTGCGCTAATACTGTCAAAACACACAAGGTTTAAATAAACACAGTAGCTTATGTCTAAAGTGAAAGCAAATATTTGAGAGAAAGTTGGGTGCATGTCATATGCATGTTTATTAGATGTGTGCCGGTCTTAAAGGGACAGTAGCCTAATAATACAATAGTAAACATGCTGCCGCTTGTCCTTCAAGGGATAGTATACAAAAAAATGAAAATTCTCTCATACTGCCAAACCTGTATTAATTTCTCTCTTGCGCTGAACACAAAAAAAGATATAATGCGGCTATCCAAACAGTTGCTGGTCCCCATTGACTTACATCATAGGAAAATGTAAACTATGGAAATCACTGGGGACCAGCAACTGTTTGGTTTGCCACATTCTACAAAATAACTTATTTTCAACAGAAGAAAGAAATTTATTCTAATTTGAGAGAGTAAATGATGACAATTTTAATTTTGGGGGGGTTCTATCCCTTCAATGTTAATAAATCACTCACTGTATAATTTATACAGTGAAGTCTATGTAGTATTTTATTTTATATTTATTTAATTTCTTGAATGCTACTGTTAAATATCAGCTACTGTAGCTGAAAATATAAAGCCCTATTTATTTTATGTGTACACTATGTTGTGTATGTGTACCTTTGTCATTTATCTCCGTCACTTTGGCCTAAATGTGTGCCATTTTATATTGGGTTACTGGGTTGGTGTAATGCTCAGTCACTTGCAAAATAGTAAAGCCAACATGAAAAAGAATCATGATAAAATCTGTAATCGTAATTTTTCTAGAAAAAAAAAAAAAATCATGAATCTTTTTCCCCATATCGTCCACTTCAAGTTGTGCCAGTCCATCAGCACTAACCACCTAAGCTGATCTTTTCTGCAAGGACTATCCATTCACCTCCTTTACAACTCATGCTGTTAAAGAAATGTGTCCATTTTTAGACAGGATTGATTCTGTTCACCTGAAAGAGCCACACACATCTCCAGATGCAATGTCAGAAGAAACATCAGCACTCTGAGAACAGCCTTTCCTCTGCAGCACAGCTCTATCTCCACAAATCCATAAGGGAATTACTGCCACTGTTCATAACAGAACAACAAGGAGACCAGAGGACAACAACGCCTGCTTAAAAATCCTCCAGCTCTCAGATGGGAGTCCACACTAATGCATCACACAACATGGCGTCTGAGGAGCGTAGCGGAATACTGATAGAAGAACACCCAAAGGGCTTCAGGCTCAGGACAAGGACTCTCAGGGTGAATCAGTCAACATGTCCTGGTCAAATAACACCCAAAATGCAAAAAGAAACTTAGTCTTACTTTATGACCATAACATTTAGCATTATTTGCATGCCAATAAAGAAAAGTAAAACCTTTTTTTTTTCTTTTTTGCAGTACTATCTTTTGCAATATTGTTAAAAAAATAATAATGCATTATGATCATGAGAATATTTATCATCACTAACAGGTATTTTAGGAAGTATTTAAAATAATTTTTTAAAAAAAAATTAATTATATTGTATTTATTTATTCATTTTTATGAGGCTCACCCTTCTTGTTTTTAGTAGTCAAAGTAAAACCTTGGATTAAAGCTTTAAGCTTTCCTAATGAAGGAAACACCATGTCACACAATATCACCTCTGAGCTGATCCTAATCCAGTTTTAATAAAGAACACCAGAGCCAGAGCGCTGTTATATTACACTTAATTTCAAAGAGAAAACAAAAGGCTTAGCAAATTGTGTTACTTGCTGCATTTACGGGCAACAGCGTAGGCTAATTATCTGATTTACTGTGCTCTTGTTACTCAACTGTGTTTTATTATTATTATTGTTTTTAAATAGCATTTGCCACAAGGGAAGATTCTCTCTCTCTCTCACACACACACACACACACACACAAAAACAAAAAACCATTCAAACAACTGTCATGACATGCAGTTCAAGTCATTTAGTGGCTCATATCGATGTCAAAATGAGCTCCGACGGTGAGAGGAACTTTTACCAGTTGCTTGGTTTCTATTTCTGTGGCATCACACTGTAGCTCCGCCTATAGGGGAATGTAATTGGTCTTAATCCCACACATAACTGTCTAATTGACTGCTTGTGTTGTATCACGCAACATTTTCTTGGTGCAGACGGACAAATGCGGAAATGTGATGAGAGCCACAATGTTGTCTAGGGGCTTAATGTTGCGATATAAAAACTGAAAAACGACTAAACTTTGCAGGCTAGATGTCAGATGAATAGCTTTTTTTTCAAACAACATTTTTCAGTATTACAATAAAACTATTCTGTCTAGACCTTGAAACTAAAATCTTGTTTTGGACGGATTTCAAGGGTTTAAAAAGCTTCATTGTTCTTCACCAATACTTTACTTAGGGGAGATAATTAAACAGTACACTCATGGATTCATGTTTATTCCATACGGCAGCTAGATAAAGAGGCACTAAAGATAAAAGAGAATAACATATGTGGAATAATATAACTATGGTTCATTCTGATTTTTATGTGTACAACATCAACATATGGACATCTTTCATTTTAGTGAAGTACAAGTGTTTTATGAAACTTTAAAAACTGAAATTGCCAGCACATTTGTGAGTTGAATACATTGAATACATTTGAATTAGGTTTATATATTATCAACCTTTAAATGCATAAATGTTTCTCCAACCATTATTACATATTCAGGTCTTTAGCGACCCGGATCTATATCTAACACGGATGGATCTCTACATGTGGTGATGATGTAAAACTCTCCTCATATTAGAGTAACAATTACATAAGGATACAATAAAGCATATTTTGTTACCTTTTGGAGCTTGGAAGGGTTCAGTTTGAGCAGATGTTTTATACCATCATCACGGTCCTTGTCAGAGCTCATTTCCCAGTACATTCAGCATCTGGCTCACATTCGCCATTTCAAACATATTCTCAAAACTATCATTTTCATCATATTCAAAATTGCCATTTTGATCGCTGACAGCTTCTCCACCAGATTCACCATAAGTGACAGTGACACTAATATTTGATTGTGTTCAGTTTTTGTGTCTACAGTAAATCGCTGTGCCTTTTCAAGTTTTGCTGATGATATTTCCTATTCTTTTGTTTGCTGCCTGCGGTAACTATGAGTGAAACGTCACTTCATCATTGTGTATCAGAGATTGCCATTGTGTAGAGTAAAGGTGAATTTCTATTATTAAGTAATCAAAGATTCAATCATAGTTGTGCTAAAAAATAAATACTTACACTGTTAAACACCTCATTAGTGACTATATGATTTTTATTAGATTTATTTTTTTTTTTTTTAAATTATAGGAAAACAGGCATTTTTCTAAAACTGTATAAAAAAAATGTCTTGTTATATTATTTATAATTAATTGATTGAGGAATACTGAGAATGCTGATATCTAAAAGGGTAATAAATGACATCCCGGGTCACTAAAGACCCAATGTATGCGTTTAACGGTTAATGCAATAATAGTATGAAACTAAAAAAGAGGGAATTAAAAGAAAATGTCCATACAATGATATATGTATCAGTATCTATCAAAACTCTACACTTTATCTATGAAAACGATCAAATTGGATGATTACCCCAGTTCCACTGGGACTTTTCTATATGATTCTGATGTGCAACCCAACCGGCATGTTTATTCTCTTGGGCCTTTTTTTGGCCCAGGAGAGTAGAAGGAATTAGGAAACGCATTAATAGTGCGGCATCTGTTTCTTACCTGATCGACATGCGATGTCCACGTCTTTCTCAAAATCCGTCTGTGGAAAAAAAAGAGAAGCAGAAAAAGCCATTGTAAAATTAGACATTCAAGAGGAGTTTGACTTAGACACTAGTAAAACATAAAAAAATAAAGTTTTATTTGAACTTGGACAATTGCATTTCATGTTTAATCAACTATGTAAAAAGTCCAACATATATATGCCATTATGGGATTATTCTAAAATGGTACGATTTTACTGGCTTGTGTCTGCAGTCAAACCACGTCCCGCAGCCTCACAGAGCAAACCGTCATCTGTCGAAACCATTTATAAATAGAGTCCGATTATTCAGGCGTCACAATAGAGGAGCCATCGACAGTGCCGAATCAAAGACAGTCTGCACATTGGAGGCCTCATTATAGTGGAATGCTTCTAGTAAAGGAACTTTAAATCAAAACATAAATGAGAACTGTGATCATTATGTGCCAGTGGTTCGGCGCGGGTCACACATCTCCGGAACCATTTTAACAGCAATTACTCCCTCAAGCAAGTGAAGGATGAGAAGGACCGGTGTGAAATATGACAAATGGGTCCCATTGGAGAAAGTGAAAGGCCAGAGCAAAGCCAAAAGACGTGGAGAAAAGATTTGCTGTTCTTAATTAAGCAAAGACAATCCTCCATATCCTGTCATAAATGTATAGACGAATCCGGCGAAACTACCGGAAGTAAGCGGGGCGCCATTACTGAGCTGTTGCTGGGTAGCGTTGCGCCATTGCCTCCTATTGTTTTAGTTGCAACTTGCGTCCACTGGAATAAACAGCCCGCGATTTACGACTGTCACTAACGTTACAACGTTATCCCTTGTATAATGTCGAGTGGGTAAACAGTTTCCGTTATAAATTGTTTCAATGGTGGCAGTAAAATTTCAATTTTGAAGAGAAAACACTGTGAATACCCCGGGTCGACTGCCCCTGTCTGGTGCCGTACGGTTTACAGATTTCCTGGGCGAGTACAAGACGTGGACATTCGCGTATAATAACAATTATTTAATGACATAAGTAAAAAAAATATAATAAATATGTGATATAGTGATCAGCAAAATCTCCTCTCTTGCTATTTTTTCTATTAAATTAACATGCTATGGTCATTAAATGGCTTTCCTGAGCTAAATGTAACGTTATGTGACATAATTGTTCTCCCGCTGTTATATTGACCTCTTTCCATGGTTTAAAAACACTAATTGGTCGATATTATACTTTCTAGCTGTAACGTTACCTTACCCTTGCCCGTTGCAATGTGAAAATGAGATAAATAATGGACACAAATGAAAAACATGAATTTGTTTATTTGATTTAATTCATTTATTTATTTATTGTTGCCAAATGGACAGATCTTTTTATAGTTTCCTCGTTAGCAAACGTTAGCCTAGCTAGCTTGCCAAGCTATTTTCATAAATAACGTTAATCTGTAAGATCGTTTGTACCTTCATCTGTGACTGGAGGCCACTGCAGTCACAGATCAAACCAACAAGTCATTCTGCCTGGCTGTAGCTGTCATCGAGGGTGAGTTCGCGTTATCACCGAGGTTTGTTTACATACCGGTGCATATGTCTATATGCCTGTGTAACAGCTCAGTAATGGCGTCGCCACAAGATGGCAGCCTACACAGAACGCTCGTCGGATTCGTCTATAAGCAATAACACTGTATTACAACGAGTCTTATTACATCAAGAGGACTATGAGAGGTCACAGCACATACATCCAATAGCATCATGCCAGATGCAAATGCTTTATGAGGAGAGCATAGCTGAGTTTGAGGCTGCACAGTGTAAAGAATGGGTCTTGTTTCTTACCATGATCTGTGCATGCCCGTTGGGGAAGGTACCAGTCGCATCCGCATTCATGGGGTCTTGACAGTTTCTTAAACGACATCTGAAGGCATCTTGGACCTGTGAACCGTCAATTTATTCAGATTGTTGAACCTCCACCGGAACATTTGTTATCATAATGTACAAAACATTTCAGAAAGGCACGTTGCTTCAGGATTTGGTCGGAAAGATTTTTAAAATGTTTTTGAAAGTGGTCTCTAATGCTCACCGAGGCAGCATTTATTTGATCAGAAATACAGTAATATTGTCAAATATTATTACAATTTCATGCAGATTTGATGCGAACCATTTCACATCATTATAAATGTGCTGTTTAAGATTTGCATTTATTGACACCACATTTATTTAAAATAGAAATCTTTTGTAGCATTATAAATGTCTTCACCATCACTTTTGATCAATTTAATGCATCCTTGACGTATTCATTTCTTTGAAAAAAAAATCTTTGCGACCCCAAACCTTTGAACAGTAGTGTATAAAACAATAATTATCAAGCTCGCTAAAATCAAATGCAACAACAAATGACTCTTATCCTTTTTTTATGCTTTTTGAAATAATAAGATTGTTCCCTGGATATAGAACTATTTAAATAACTATTTAAAGTCACCGTTGGGTGAGTTACTCTAAAAATGTCATTAATTACAAGCTAATTCAACTGTGTAACTAGATTACTGTACTAATTACGTTCTCTGAAATGTTACATTACTTATTAATAATTACTTTCTAAATTCCATATCAACCTCAACCACCATTTTGCAAGATGTAAACAACACTGGTCCAGAAACACTTCCTGTTTCAGTTTGTAACTGTTTTCTTTATTTCACATATAAAGAAAACATCTTAAAGATTGATTCAGTTTTCCATGTTCTGTTGGTTGTATTTTATCCCAGCTTTTATGTAGTGTTAAAAAAATGAAACAGGAAGTGCTTCTGGACCATCGTTGTTTACATCTTGCAAAATGGTCTATACATAAAACTGCTCTTTTAATTCTTTCAAATAAATAATATAACATTGCATAAATTATTCTTGAACCGACCAAAGTATTTAAAGGGTTCTATTAAAGGTTACATTAAAAACATACATTTTAACATTAAAATTTCAAATTTTGTGTTAAATCCACTGTAGAATTTACATACTGTAGAATTGTTCTAAAGTCTACAAAGCATTTAATACAATTACATCTGAAGTAACTGTAATTAAATAACAGAAAGATGAAGATGAATACCTTACCTTTTTTCAAGGGAAAAGTAATTAAATTAGCATAACTGATTACTTAGTAATGGGTTCTGAGAAAACATGTTAATCAAGGGAAATTTTTCTTTAGGTATTTGATTTGATTATCAGGATTTAATTGGACTTTCTAAATGACTGATAAAATAAAAGAGGTTTTGATCATCAGGGATTCATCTGAGGATCAGTCAGGACACTGGCAGATTTTAAAGGGTGAGTTTGGCTGGTCTGAAAGTGGCTTTGTGGAAAAAAATAAAATAAAAAATACTCATGGTGGTACTCACATTAATGACTACACGGTTCAGACCAAAATGTACAACTGACTTACTTTCTTCTGCAGAACGACTTTAATTGCACTGTAAAACTAAATACCTTTTGTGTTCCACAGAAGAAAGGAAATCATACAGGTATTGGACATGTTGGTCATTTTAATTAATGACAGAATCTTCATAATTTGGGTGAGCTATTCCTTTAATGAAAACTGGGCAAAGTAAAAATAACTGGACCTTTGTAGAAATGATCGATACAGTCTGTTGAAATGCTGAAGAACAGTAAGGGATATGAATGGTTCCAGCCCTACCTCTCTTCTGAGGATACAGTGGACCATGACTATGACAAAGCCTTGCAGAGAGTCAAAGACTGCGAAGAGGATCTGAAATAAAATGGAGCGCTTGTCCGTCATGGCCAGCACTGCAGACATCCAGGTGAGCGCTAACAGAGGGAGCACAACACAGGAACTCCACAGGGAGGCCCTGACACACACAAAGAGACATGGTGGAATGAACAACAGAAAACACAGCATTGTGCTCTTGAATTATTATAAATGTTGAATGCAAGGTTATTTTGAATGCAAGGTAGTCTTTTCCCCCCCTTAGAATTGGCCAGATAAGTCGCAATTGCGAGTTTATATCTCACAATTCTGAGAAAAGATGTCAGAATTTCGACATATAAACTCACAATTATGTGTTATAAAGTCAGAATTGCGAGATGTAAACTCACAATTGTGAGAAAAAGTCAGTTTTGTGAGATAAAAAGTCGCACTTCTGTCTTTTTTTCTCAGAATTGTGACTATATCACCCAATTCTGACTTTATATCCCATAATTATGAATTTATATCACGCAATTCTGACAATATCTCACAATTCTGACTTTATATCACGCAATTCTGACTATATCTCACAATTCTGACTTTATAACACGCAATTGGGACTTTATAACACGCAATTCTGACTTTATATCTCTCAATTCTGACTTTATATCTCGCAATTCTGACTTTATATCTCGCAATTCTGACTTTATATCACGCAATTCTGACTTTATATCTCGCAATTGCGACTTTATAACACGCAATTCTGACTTTTTATCTCACAATTCTGACTTTATAACACGCAATTCTGACTTTATATCACACAATTCTGACTTTATATCTCGCAATTCTGACTTTATATCACACAATTCTGAGAAATAAAGTCAGAATTGTGAGATATAAACTCACAATTGTGAGAAAAAAAGTCACAATTATTTATTTTATTTTTATATTCAGTGGCGGAAACAAGCTTAGTTATTTGCTATTGTACAATAAAAATCTTTCTATGGAAAAAAAAAAAAAAAAAAAAAAAAACTTTTACAGAAGTTGCGCTCTATAGAACATATAGTGTGTCAACATATTGCATATAACAGAGAACAAGAGCCAGTTGTTCATTTAACACCTGCACAATCTCCTTCCTCAAGGCAAGTGGAAGGACACACACACAAGCTTATTCAGCATAATCGATTTGCTGAGGCATTGGTGAGTACTTACATGGCATTGCTGGCCGTCGTCGCTGATAAAGCAGTAGTTGAGACAACGCCACATTTGGCACATTTTAAAGTTAGACCTGTATGGGGCTCGCTCATCTGCCTGCAGGACAGCCAAACAACCAAACAACACAAAGGGAACATATTTACAGTGATCTGATTACACCAGAACAGGAGTGTGGATGTTTCTTTTGGCCCTTTGTGGACATCATCAAAGGTGAAGAGTGTAATTTCTGCACATTTATTAGCACCAGAATTTGAATCAATTTGAGCAGCCGTACTGAGCTGTAAATCTCTCTATTGGCTAACTAATGGTGTGAATTTGGATCGAATGACACTACAACTATGTGTCAGAACCTGAGGTCTCGGTGTCGAGCTAAGCTACCCTTATGTTGATAGTCTCCTCTGAAACAGTTTGATGTTAGCATGTTGCTAAGAAAGTGTAGATGTGCTTCTCTTAATTAGCTCATATCCACACCTAGTTAACTGACAAGACATCAGGAAGCAGCAATAAGCACGCTAAGTTGCTGCGAGCAGTTCAACATAGCAAGCCGTTTTGATAAATGACAATTAACAACCAACTGGTTTCTTTATTGAAAAGACATTTTGTATTAAACTGTCAGGAACCCAGGAAATATGTTTTGGAACAGAGCTTAGGAGTTTGACATTTTTTGTTATGTATGCGCTTATGCAATATTGCTAAATTCGCACTTACCCTGCTCTATGTTTTAGTTTCTTATCCAGGATCCCATCTCTCGAAACCAGTTTATTAAACACCAGAATGCCAATCACCATGTTCACCTGTACACACCAACACAAACAGTAACACTGTCAGGGCCTGATCTTACCAAACCATTAAAGTGCAGTAAATTAACCATACACCGTTTATAGCACTGACAAAATGTAAAAGATTTCTTTGAATAAACATAAAACATTCATAGTGCAATTCTATTTTAGTATTTTACAACTTCAAGCTGTACTTTAAAAGTACAACAACACAAATGTAAATATACTGTTTAGCATTGTTGTGTGAATCTGTGCAACATTACATCTGAATTCAGTCAAACAAACTGCTTAATGATGCATATAAATTACAGGGGTCACACAATCTTCATACCGTTCTACAATTGAGCGAGGCAATTTTCCATTTCAACATTGGCACGCTAGACTAGTCCAGTAAATTACATAAAACATTACAAAAGCCTGGTAAATGACTGTAAATAAACTAAGTGTAAAATTACCAGCACTACTGCAGCAGCAGGTCCCACAAATGCATAGAGAAGACCACCTTCCAGAGATAGCCAACAGCTGCAAACACACGCAAAAAAAATATATCAGCAAATCTTGCATAAAATGTAACATCCGCATCAACTTAATGGGGCATGGCAGTACACAGTCGTATCGTCCTTGAGTGTCTGGGGATCTGGAGCCATATGCCATGGTTCTACATGAGAGATTTTAGTGTGGAACAAGAACTCTAAAGAGATCTTAAAACACTGTTTATATCCAGGTATCCTCTGGAGAACTAGGTGGGACTGTTGCAGTCTCTTGGCTCTGACTACTTCATGCTTTTGTTTTAATTGGTAAGATTTCCCATGTGCTATGTGTGGGGTCTTTTACGTTTCTGGGTTAATCATGAGGGAAAAAAAAGGTATACATAAAGTGAACTGTCTTACTATTGAGGTGTCCCATATCCTTTTGCTTTTGTGAATCCCATTGAGATTGCGACCACCAAGGCAGGTAATCCTTCAAAAGAGACACAGGAGTGATGAGAGGCCACATACTGGGTAATCCTTCAGAACAGGACACATTCACAGCACATGTATGGTAGCTTCAGTCAGAGGTCAAGAAACTAATTCAAGTGGTGCTTGTCCAAAACCAGCTGCTACGATGTTAAAGTGTGTAGTTGCTACATTTTATATTTGTATATAAATAAATAAAATATATTTTGAAACAAAAAGTATATTAATAATAAAATATAATATATTTAAAAAAAAAAAAAAACATTTTTTTGTGGAAATATATAGGGCTTTCAAACGATTAATCGTGATTAATCGCATCCAAAATAAAAGTTTGTATTTACATAATATATGTGTGTGCAATGTGTATAATTCTTTTGTATATATACAGTATATATATATATATATATATATATATATAAACACATATGCATTTATATTTAAGAAAAAATATTTATATATAAAGTATATATAAATCTATATACAGTACATGAAAATATTTCTTAAATATATACAAGCATGTGTGTGTGTTTATATATAAACATTTATTATATACAGTGCAACCACATATATAATGTAAATACAAACTTTTATTTGGGATGCGATTAATCGCAATTAATCGTTTGACAGCACTAATATATTCACTTTTTTTACACAGACATTGCCTTATTGATTTTATATTAAATATATATTTTATATTGAATGCATTTATATTATAATTCTTTTAAATTTAGTTAAAACACTCACTAATACCAGCCAATATGGTACCAATAATTTTCACATCTCTAATCATGCATGTCTTCAGCAAAAATGTGTTTAGGGTTATATATTTGTTTGATTAATTACCCCTAAACACGAGCAACTGTTGCCTAAGCAAATGCCACTGCAGATTTTCACAAGCACTTCAGGTTTTCAAGTCAGGAACGACATAACTTCTAAATAGTTTGTGCCATTAAAGCAGGTAAACAGGAGTTTTACACTAAAAACCAGCATGTGAAATGCAATTACCACAACTGCTTTTGAACAGAGAGGCTGGAACAATCAAACAGGGCTTGAGCTGAAGTATTATATCATATCTGCTATCTTTCTAATCCCCTCTCTTTCTCATGTTAACTGGTCTCGAGCAGGACTGCCATTATGAAAGAGCTCTTTCTGCTCCTCGCCATGTCCTGTGATCTGAATATTAACACCATCCCTCTTGCACTGGTGGCTGAATTTATTGATGCAATCAGCTTGTCTGAAGAACCCTCCTCCCCTAACCAAAGCTCCACCCCTAGCCACCATGCAATTTCATCCTCCACCAATCTGAAAAAGCACTGCAGTGCACACAACGCCACTGTTCCTCCCTCAAAGGTAACATTTAGACTCTGGATGGATGAAAAAAAGGGAATATCTGAGAAGGATTAATGAGTTTGACCTGGAAACTGTCCATAATGACATTGTTCCATCACAGATGTAAACGATACCTGCAGATTTATAGTTCAGCCGAACAAACACAGCATAGTCTGCCAGATAGTGAGAACGAAGTGCCTCTTATGTTCCTATGACCTAAGTAGGGGTCATGCAATTAAACAGACCAGCTGTTGGTTTTCTGATCTTTAACAGATGTTTCAGATTAGTACTTTTCCACCGAGACACCATTTGGTTCCAAACGAAGCAAAAAAAAATAAAAAATAAAAATGAGATGAATTTAACAGACCACTGAAATAACCAAAAAAGATATTACTGCATGGCTAGCTAGTATAGAATTCATTCAGGAAAACAAAAACAAAGTTTAGGCTAAAGATTATATTTCCTAAACAGCAGCAACTCAATGCATTTAGTCATGTGGACATGGTGGAAATGAACCGCTGAAGATCAAACTGAGCATCAGAATGAGATTTAAGGGACTTTAAAAGAGGCATGGTTGTTGGTGTCAGATGGACTGGTCTGTTTTCACAATGTGTACCTAATAAACTGGTCCCACATTTTTGTGCCGTGTCATGCTGGAGGTAGACATTAACAGAGGAGTAATGATCTGCAAGGATCCTTTATTTATTTTTGTCTGGTCGTACTCACTTCTTATAATCAGTTTTTAAGCGAATGGAGTCATTGACGGATGGAAAAAGCAGGAGCAACAAGTTAATTTAATAGCAGACGTCACTTATCAAGTCTTCCTGCTTGAGATACTGAAAACAAACCACATATGAATGGAGTGTAACACCACAGATCTAAAATGTGAGTCTTGTTTTATAAATGCTTTAATTCAAGAAACATTTCATGGATACCGATCATTTAATTAATCCACCAAAAATGTTTATCGAAATAGCCAAATAATAAACGGTTCACATATCTGTCTTTGTCTATCTTCTTCTGTCATGTCTTTTTCCTCTGCACACAGCAAAACACTGCAATGATGGAAAGACAGAGCCTTGTTTGTTGCTAGGTAACTGGAGGGATGAGCATTTGCTCTTCTGTAATCAATTTGATGTGTGTGTAAAGTGGTCCTGTACAAGAAACCCCGGGGAGGTATGGAACATACGAGACGATATTTAAAGGGGTCGTGAACAGATTGTGTAATGTTTTCTGAGGTGCACATAAAAAAAAAAATCAAAAATAATTTAGAAATAAAAAGCCAGATTTTAGATGTTTCTAGCCAGATTTTTTGTGATTGGCTGACATCATTGTGTATGAAATAAGTACTACACGTGGAACTCTCTCGAAAACTTTTACTATGTTTTTACTATTACAGCTGTCAAGATTAACAAATCGTGAAAAGTGTTGATTATAGCATTATATTCCGATCTAGTCCAGTCGCATGAAAGGGTGCAGTGGATTTTAGCCAATCACAGACATGTTGAGTGCATGAATACAGTGATCTCATCATTGCAACTCAATTGCTGCATTGTAACGAATGCTTTCATCATAACTAAGAGTTCAAAGATTATGCAAGTAAGAGCATAGTCAGTTTCATTGATTTAGGGCTGCAACTAACGATTATTTCGATAATCGATTAATCGGACGATTATTTTTCAATTAATCGGATAAAAAAATTCCATTTAATTTGTTTGCTTATTATAACTAAATAAAACCCTAAATCAGGATTGTGGAGAGCAGGACGAGGTCTAGATAATCTGATAATCACTCTTTTGTGTGTTAAACACAATCTACTTAATACAGACAACTTCATTATAAAGAAAAACAACAAATAAAAAAAAATCTAACAGACACTCAGTAGAAAGTGATTAAGTTAAAGCAATAAAAGTCTAGCAAGATAGTCATTTTATGCAAACCATAGACCTTTATCTATGGCTCAATTATAATATTATTAACATTGAATCATCTTGGAAAGAGTTTCATCGTGTTGACTGTCGTAACCGAACGCGATCGCTGTTTGAACACCGAATGGAGAATGACTGACAGCCGCAGTGGAGGGAAAAGCTTGTTTGCATATTGTATTTTTGATCCAAGCTTGTATACATATCTTATAGTAAAAGACTGTTTGCAAAGCCTGCGCAGAAATGCGACTGATTTATTAGTGATCCTGTATCTCTCTTTCAGCTCACTAATGCGCCTATTGGACGAGGCCAAAGGCGCGGTGATATAGAAGTAGGCGTTGGTTTGATTCTGCAGAGGCGGTCTTTCGCTGCACTTTTATGTCATAATGTGACAACCTTCCAAATGAGTCGTTTTCTGAGCTTGGATTCAATAAACGCTGTTTTTGGACAAACAAGGACGTTTTGAGGTCTGAAACAGGATGTTTTTACAGTATAATGACCTTGTACATGTCATTTTAGAAATTTTTAATTCTCAATTCATGACGCCTTTAAAAATGACCCACTCCCATTGTCTGTATTTGAGAAGCAAACACCAGCTGCATGATGAAGATGGAGCAGTAAAATTGCGCATTAGTGAAGAAAGAGGGAGAGATGTAGAGATACTGGAAGTGTTATGGACATCCAAGAACTCACCCCATCCCAGGCAGAGGAAGCGTTTCCGAATGAGCCTGGTCCGAACTTTTCCTGTCACAGCCATATAGGACTGCCAAGCTTCTGTCAAAACCCAGCAGAAGGACGCCAGGAAAAAGAAGTGCAGAAATGCAGTTGTCATCGTGCATATGCCCTGTGCATTCAACAAAGAGAGAGAGAGAGAGCGGAGAAAGGGATAAATATTTTGAAACAAGTCAGTCAAGTCCACATGAGGGTTTTTGGACCGTCAATTGAATATCACACAGCCAGACTTTGGGTGGAAAGTACTAAAATTCCATTTTTAAAATGACAGAAAATGTGACCTCACTGAAAACCAACCAAAAAATGTCTCCCTTTGATTTTTATGCAAGGGGTCATGAAAAGCCTTTGACTAAAGCCATATTTGCATTGGATTAGTACTACCTGGTGACCTCTAGTCATTTGTAATAATTGTGGAGGTTGTCTGTGAACTTGATCCCGTGCGAATCGGCATTTCAGTGATTTGGCCAGGGGTAATTTATAAACACACGAGGTCCACAGATAATACTAATCCCGTGCGAATAGGGCTTAAACAAGCGACAGACTCCGCTAGAACATCATTTAGGACCTGATGGACTTTGATGGCATGTAGTGTTCACAATGTGCTCTTGTGGATATGGGTTTTATTAAATTTCTTTTAGAGAAAATAATGGGGTCATTAAGATATTTTTGGGAAATAAAGTCAGCAAGGATACATTAAACCGAATCAAAAAATGACTTTTGCATTATTAAAAAAAAAAAAAAAATTCAAATCAATTCTAGTCTTTTAAACTTTATATTTCCTCCAAAATATTTAGCAGCACAACAGCTTTTGATATAGATAATACTCATTTCTTCTTGAGCACCAAATCAGCATATTAGAATAATTTCTGAAGGGTCATGTGACACTGAAGACTGGAGTAATGATGCTAAAAATTCCATCACAGGAATAAATTACATTTAAAAAATATAAACAGAAAACAGTTATATTTAATTTGTAATAATATTTCACAATACTACTGTTTTTTGCAGTATTTTTGATCCAATATATAGTCATCCATCCATCATCTATTTTCTGTGATAAAAACCTAAGAAAAAAAACCAACAACAACACACTGCCACAATGCTCTCAAACCATATTTTAATAGTGAACAAAAAAATGTTTCAACGTGCAGTTAGGTAATATGAATAAGTCACTATGAGCAAGTTTAATATAAACTAAAATACACTGTGATACTGATATATTCCCATACCTCTGATTCCAAATCTAGAAAATCTCACTGCAATTAAAACATGTGCTCTGGACATTCTCAACAGTTTGACACCAACAGCGAGCCAATGAGATGCCCTCAGAACCAAAAGCCCATCTTTCTCACCACATGAGGATCTTTCCTCACTGAATTTGGCAGTCAGTGTGTCTCGTGGAAATCTTTTAAGACTGGCATGATCAGCATGTGATAAAACAGCTCTTTCCTAAAACCATGGTTCCCACTACATTTGACCAATGAACTTCCATGACATTTTCATTCGCTCTAAATTGCTTATAAAAAAGTCCTGGGACTACATCAAGGCAGTGAAATACTTAAGATCAGTGCTTCTCAACAGGTGGGTCATGAGTCGCAAGACCACATGAACAACAAAAACATAATTCTAAATGGCTTATTGAAAGACGTGGATGAAAGCTGTTGACTCTTCTGTCAGATATAGTTTGAGGAGAGCCTGAGAAAAACACGTTATTCCCTTGAAACACCTGATTCAGGATCTGCTGTCAGATGAGATGTTGTCAGGCTATATGTCTGTCATTATTCTGTTTTTTTTTTAAGTTAAGTAACTTGTTAAGTCTCTCACCTCAGAAAAACAAACTTTCCTGTGTATCACTTCACTATATATACAGAGCAGATGAATTTGCAAGCATGCAGCAATGTAGTACCAATTACCAATAAAATATGTAACTGGTACATTGTGTTTAAGCTGGGAAGGAAGCAGGTGTGATATTCATTCTATTCAGTTCTCATGTGTTTCATTAAGAGTTAATGGTAGAATTGTCTATTTACCATGGTAACTGTAGTTTCCATAATACCAAAATGCCAATTTATTTTCACTTTTGTGTTATTTTGTAGTTTTAAATGACTGTGGCAGCTCATAACAACTTACTAACTGACTGCCATTTAATAGCCTTACCTTATAATGTTTATTCATCAGTGTTGGTGATATTCTTACAATTACAGTATGTGTATGTTAAGTAAAGTACTTGTGTGTGTCAACTGTTTTGTTGAAATAAATTTGCTTGATTTTTGAAAGCAAATCAGTCAGTGGGTGCTGAATGGTTCATAATAATGTTGTAAATTCAGATTGGTTGGTAGGAAAGACCATCAAGAATGCTGATACAGGAACGTGTCTTACTTAAGCAAAGCACATTTAGGCTAGCAGCCTACAAGTGAATCTTGTGGTGGGACAACCTGGATGCTCATGGCATAGAAGAGAGCTATGAGCAGAGCTGACATGAGCCAGAGAAAAGCTGGACGGAACGTAATGAAGACACGGCTTCCACCTGCTCCCGGTCGAATGCTGTGAAAATGGATCAACTGGCAGCATGCGATGGGACACCTGATGCTGTTGAGCTCTCTCACGCTGCCATAAAACCACAACTCCTCAGTAAACCAGCTTTCAGGATCACATGCACACAACGGCCGGGAGATTTAGCTTGAAGTTCACATCCAGGGTGTATCTAAGCCAGATGACTTCTGGACCTATGTTCCCTTACCCATACACTGTTCCTTGACTTCCAGAATTAGAAGGACAAGAATGTTATATAATTAGTATAATCTCTACAATTAGTATACAACTTTTTATCGATAAACTACATTCTAAAGTTTAAGGTCAGTAAGTTTTTTTTTTTTTAAATAAATGAATTACTTTAATTAAGCAAATATACATTAAATTGATCAAAAGTGACTCTAAGGCTATGTTTCCATAGACAGTAAAATAAAAACGGTCACGCCACGCAGCTGAGACGCACGCAGCCAGTGTGTCTCCGGCCAGCGCGCGCGGCGCTGCATCCGAGTATGAACGACTTCAAGCGGAATGTCCAAACTTGTACGTCTCACACAATCAGAACGTAAAAATACGGGAAATTTTACGGGAAAATACTAAAACAGGAAGACAGCGGGAACAGAGATAAAACGGGAGGGTTAACAGCTATGCCCTAGTACAGTGATCATACTTCAGTTATCATCTTTTCTAATAATTATATTACAACAATTTTAGGCTTAATATTAAGAAATGTGCATTTTACAAAAAAAAAAAAAAAAGTTTAAATTTAATATTTATCAGTAAATCTTGTGACATCAGTAAATATACGAATAGATTTGTACTATACTTAGTATGAAACAAATGTATTTTTAATACCTTTTAGTATAGGTTTTTTTTTTTTCACTATGTCAAAACAGAAGTAGGCCAAACCACTAGACTAAGGGCTAGAACTACATATCTAAGGACTTTTATGCACACTTAAAGCTAGGGTATACATTTTCAAAGATTGTTCATTATTAATATCCTCGTTTAGATGCTGTTTATGGTTATATCGTATAATCCTAACAATAGACCTTTTTCACAAAAACCGGAAATACGTAATCGTTGTGGAAACGGAGTTCCCGTCAACTGTTAACACATCAGAAAAACCTACTCTGGGAGGAGAAAATTGATCAGAGAGTCTTCAAAACTTCGAAAAAATGTAAACTTGTCATGGTCCAGTTGTTGATGACTTTGTAAAATGCTGTGGTGATGCTTGTCTGCAGCTGATTTATCTAAGACCAAAGATATGATATTGATTTTAGAACTGAAGCTCATTCTTCCCAATAATTAAAGGTAAGAAGGTGGAGTGTGTGGAAAGTTATTCATATTTAGGGAGTATTATTTACAATAAACTACATTTTGATGTGAATACCAGAAAGAAGTATGTCAGTTTTATTCAACAGTTATCCCGAATTTTTTGCACTGCTGTTGCTAGAACGATCAAAGATGAAGAAAAATTATACAAATATTAATTTATTCCTTGTACACTCAGATTGTTAAATACTCAGAATGGTATATATTAATATTTTAAATTTATATGTAGCCCACTGTTGTGTGTTCTTATTTATCTTGTTTTATATTGTGGTGTATATTTTATGTGCTTATTCCGCTGGATACAAATATCTTAATACAGTTGAACATGAACTAACGTTACTTCAAAAATACGCAAATCACAAAACATAAAAAATAAACAAACAATGACGGCTTATTAGTGAATGGTGACATGAGAAGTACAGAAGATCACAGGATCAATAACATCCCGCCAGATCGCCTGAATCCATTTCCGTCGAACTTCATCGACAGGGAACTGACGAGGGAAGGAATGAAAACGATAGGTATGGCTGCTTTTGGGAATAACAAAAAAGATCGGTACGCAACAACTCTCACTAGTTGCCTTCGGCGCTATCTGTTATGAATGGAGCGGAAGAAGTTTACCACGACAATTGCGTATTTCCGGTCACAAATACGGAAGTTGTGAGAAAGGTCTATATAAATAGAAAAAAGAACGAACAAAATCCATTCACTCTATTGGCTGTACAGCCACATAAAAGTTGACCAATGGAAGCTTTGCGAGCGCAAAGCTACATTGGTCAACTGCTCTCATCCAATCACCAGCTACACTTGAAACTCCGCCTGGAGCTCGCGTCTCCACCCCGATCGCGCCCAACCACGCCCGACCGCGCCCTCCTTCTGCGTCATGAGAATCGCGCACGTTAGCAGGTGACCGCACATGGTAGCTAGCTAAGTAGCACATCAGACAGCAATGGATAACAACGAAAAATACATCAGCAAGCGTCCCCTGCTTGCCCCTACAAGAAAGTTAGGACGGAAGAGAAAGTCGTTTGAGGAAAAAGCAGAGACGAAAAGAAAATGTGAAGAACGCCGAAAGTTGAGTAGGATAAATATAGCCTAGGGTTCACCATTGACCGATGGAGGAAACTTCAGCGAGATCTGGGACTGAATACCGACGCTGACACGGCTGACTTTTTGTTGAGCAGGTAAACATTTATTTGTACTCTTATATGGTGTGACGTGTTACATAAATAGCTTTTTATTAGTCTG